AGGCGCTTAAGCTCCTTCTGGGCATAGCCGTCGCTCTTGCTGAGCTTGTCAAAGACGCGGACGTAGTACTCGGCGTACTTGTACTGGGCCTTCTCCTTGAGGGTCTCGGCCTGCTTCTTAGCCTCAGCGGCAGCGTCGGCCAGGCTGGTGCCACCAGTGTACTTGGCGACGATCTCGTCGAGGGAAGCAATGGTACCGGCGATGGCGTTAAGAGCGCCACCGGGGCTGCGGTTGGTGCCGGCCTTCTCGTTGATGAAGTTGACAAAGTCCTCCTCGCTGCGGCCGCCGGTGTAGAGCTCGCCCTCCTTGGAGCCCTTGGGGAAGAACTTGATGGTGGGGTAGGAAGAAACACCCTGGGCAGCGGCAGTTCCCTTGCTGTTCTCGGCCTCGGCATCAACCTTGGCGATCACGACGCCCTCGTCGAGGACGAAGTCCTGGGCGACAGTCTCCCAGATGGGGGCGAGGGTCTTGCAGTCTGTCGAGGAGGATCAGGTCAGCATTGTCGGCTTAGAACAAAGGGAATGATGAACTCGACACTTACGTCCGCACCAAGGAGCAGTGAAGGCAATGAGGACGTCCTTGTCGCCGCCAATGGTGGTCTTGAAGGACTCGTCGGTGAGCATGTTAACGGCGCTGGGCGGGGTGTACTTCTTCTTGGGCTTGACACTGGTCTTCTCCGTGATGAAGGTGCTCAGGGCCTCAAGATCACGACCTCCCTTATAGTCGGTAGGCTGGTCGCTCTTACCGTCGAACCACTTGAGAGTAGGGAATCCCTGAATCCCGAACCTCTTGCCTAGGTCTCTCTCGGCGTCGGCGTCCACCTTGGCAATCTGAACATCCTTGGAGGACTCGAAGGCGGTGGCGAGCTCCTCGTAGATGGGAGCAAGGTTCTTGCAGTGGCCGCACCAGGGAGCAAAGAACTCGACGAGAGTGGGCTTGCCAGACTTGAGGACGACATCGTCAAAGTTGGAGGGAATGAGGTCAAGCACGGCAGACTTGGCGGCAACGGTAGCTGCCAGAGCGCCGAGCACGAAGCTCTTGAGGACGACCATTGTTGCTTGATTGGATCGGACGAGGAGGAATGAAAAAGGCTATATGGTATCTCGACGAAGAAAAAGAATAGCAAGCTGCTGAAGAAGATATCAGCAGTTAGGAATAATGGTGGTGCAGACCAATGCTTTGAAATCAGCTGGTGAAGGAATTAGGAAAGAAGCCACTTTGCAGGTCGTCCCCCAACGTCACAGAAGAGCTCAGTCCCTTGTTCCTTCTCCAACAAGCGGCGTTCCTAGGAGGGGCCCACTAGAAAGCAGGGGGGGCAAAATCTTATCAGCAAAGCTTATCGCCTATCTTATCTATATCACGTGCATCAGCAAAGCACGGACTTCCCCCAGAAGCGAAGGGGGCTCCAACCCACCCTGACCCAAGCCCCAGCAAAATACAGGCGCACAAAAATTTCCGCCAGACGTCCTCAATCCAACCACAGCCAAACCATCTCGAGTTTTCGCCGACCACCCTCTCGACGACACCGCCCACCCGCTCGACAACCGCCATCATGTCTCACGAGTCTGTCTGGAACTCCCGCCCCCGCAACTACGGCAAGGGCTCCCGCTCTTGGTACGAATAAAATCCCCCCTCTCTCAGCGAAGATTTCGGATGGAAGGAAATGGAATCGGGAATATTGGAACGCGCGCGCGCAAATGCGCATAGAAAGAAAGCAGAAATGCTGACATTTTCACTTTTCATAGCCGTGTCTGCAAGCACACCGCCGGTCTCATCCGCAAGTACGACCTCAACCTGTGCCGTCAGTGCTTCCGTGAGAAGGCCAAGGACATCGGCTTCAACAAGGTATGCGAAACACAGATAACCCTGGGGACCTACGATCGACTTTGGCCTGAGCCTTTTACCCCTCGTTCGGCCATGACTTTCAGAAAGCGCAAATCGCTAACCCGAGTCTGTCATTCTACAGTACCGTTAAATTGTCCAAAACTCCGAGACGGCAAAGGATGGGAACTTGGTGAAGGTGGTTGGGCATGAGTGGCACGTGGAAAAATGCATTCAGACAAGAGGGAAGGCTTCCAAGGGCAATTGGAGTTCTTATGGCTGGCTTAACGGAAAGTGCAAAAATCCGTCGGACGTCCAACTGAGGATAGACGAATACCACGACATTGAACCTTTTACCACCATCCAAAATTTTGGGGCCCTCATTATCAAGCAAAGAAAGACTGAGCTGAGCTGCGCGTGAAGACGGCACGACTCACCTGTAGCTTGTGAAACCGCGCGACGCCTGGGTACCAAGCAGCTAGCTAGTCTGGTCCTCCAAGTTCTGGGGATGTAATTGATGACTCGAGGTTTATCAAGTAACACGATGACATATCAAGCGAGCATATACGCGATGACATGAGCTAGGAGTAATAATGTTGTCGTGTGGCACAAAGCACAGATTGTTCTATTGTCCATCGTCTTCTAAAAGTACATGATTCAAAGACAAGGGGGTGAAGTAGAGCGGAGATCTTTGAGCCCAAGACCCGACAATATACACGAGCTCGAGGGCTCAAAGCGGAAAACTCTGGGTCGGTTGTACATGAAATCGTGAAGCAATCCAACTCCTTTTTTTGTACAATCCCAATTTTTTCACCATCCGGGTTCCCATTTCATGTCGGGGAAGTTGTGTGTTTCTGGGTGCCGTTTCACCTAGTTTTGAGATATTTTTCGGCGAGCATCCCTTATTTCAGGATACGGGTGATGAGACCAGTGGCGACGGTGCGTCCACCCTCACGGACGTTGAAGCGCTGGCCAACCTCGACAGCAGAGGGGTGGTGCAGCTGAGCAACCATCTCGACATTGTCACCGGGCATGACCATCTTGTTCTTGGCGTCCTCGGTTCCCTCAGGGAATGTGAGGGTGACGGACTCGTCGGCAGTACGGAGGTACATCTGGGGCTTGTAGTTCTCGTGGAAACCGGTGTGGCGGCCACCCTCATCCTTGGACAGGACGTAGAGGGAGACGAGGAAGCTGGAGTGGGCCTTGACGGTGCCAGGCTTGCAGACGACCATACCACGGCTGATATCCTCGCGCTTGATACCACGGAGGAGAAGACCGGAGTTGTCACCAGCACGGGACTCTTCGCAAGACTTCTTGAAGGTCTCGATATCGGTGACCTTGGACTTGATGATCTGGTCACCCTTGCCGACAATCTCGACTTCGGTATCCTTCTTCAGGAGACCACGCTCGACACGGCCGGAAACGACGGTACCACGGCCAGAGATGGAGAAGACATCCTCAACGGACATGAGGAAGGGCTTCTCGAGGTCACGGGTAGGGGTAGGGATCCACTCGTCGACGGCCTTGAGCAGCTCATCAATCTTCTCCTGACCAATCTCGGGTCTCTGGTTCTGCATGGCCATGAGGGCGGAACCCATGATGACGGGGGTCTCGTCACCCTCGAAGCCGTAGGTGCTGAGCAGCTCACGCATCTCCATCTCGACGAGCTCCAACATCTCGGGGTCGTCGATGGCGTCGACCTTGTTGACGAAGACGACAATCTTCTGGACACCGACCTGGCGGGCAAGCAGCAAGTGCTCACGGGTCTGGGGCATCTGACCGTCGGAGGCGGCAACGACGATGATGGCACCGTCCATGTTGGCGGCACCAGTAATCATGTTCTTGATGTAATCGGCGTGACCAGGGCAGTCGACGTGGGAGTAGTGGCGGTTGTCGGTCGAGTACTCGATGTGGGCAGTAGAGATGGTGATACCACGCTTGCGCTCCTCAGGAGCCTTGTCAATGGCACCATACTCGAGGAAGTTGGCAAGGCCCTTCTCGGCCTGTCTCTTGGTGATGGCGGCGGACAGAGTGGTCTGTTGGGAGTTTGGTCAGTATTTATCGCGCATTGGCACAATCCTCTCGGATCTTGCTTGATATGTACCTTTCCGTGATCGACGTGGCCAATAGTACCTGTAGAGGTTCCCCCAGATTAGCTACATTTCCCACGCATTGATCGTCCAGGTGCCCATACCAATGTTGACGTGAGGCTTTGTCCGCTCGTAGACGGCGTATGTGCGGTAGACGTTGAGGATGGGAGAGACGTTCTGTCTCTTCAGAGCGGCCTGAAGGGGGCTAACGTTGCCCTGGCGCAGCGAGGCGCGCGCCGTCCGGAAGAACGGCGCAACGGATCTCAGAGAGGCGGACATTTTGGCAGGCTGTGGGTATTAAATAGTACAGTAGAAAGAGAGAAGAAGGAACAGAGAGGAGATGGACGATGGAATTGCTCGTTGTCGACAACGGCTTTTGTGATGGTGAGGTAGGGGGGGAAGGAGGTTGATGAGGTATCGTCTGATGGGAGTCGGCGTCCTCGAAATTTTTTTGCTGCCGGGACATTCCTTTTCGACCAGGAAAGACGGGGAGCTCTCTGCTGGAGCTCCTGCATCCATTGGCGGGCCGGTATGTCAGTGCTCTCCCCGGCCCCACCTCGCGAGCCATTCACGTCGCGTCGCCTCCCTTGAGTGCTGCTCCGGTAATGCGCGAGTCTTGACTGGCTGGGGCACATAGTAAGTCTTGCACGTCATGCAGATGGTGGACTTGATAGACCTTTGAAGAATTTCGCCGGAAGGTATTGGGGAACCAAAGAGCCTCAATTTAGATAATTGTTTTCTTAAGTTGGCGTTTGTTGGCAGTCGATGGTGTCGCCATGGGCATCCACAATTTGCTTCTGCTAGTGAACCTCGTAGGTCACATATTGGAGTTTTAGCGCTCTGAAGCATTGCACTTCTGCCACATGCCATGATGCAAAGAGGTCTTCCGCCTCAAGATCTAACCGTGATGGATATTTTGTAGACATGAAAGGGAGAGAACGTCCACACATATCACATGCGGGATACCTTTTTCGCGTGCTCTCTCAGATAGACTCTGTTAATTCCCTCTGCAATGGGGAAACATCTACCAGAGCACTTTCATGTCGATCTGGCTAATAGTTCAATATCGCAGATAGTCATGTAGATACCTCACTCATCACCGTCAGATCCAGATCCCGACTCACCACCATCACCACCACCCTCGCCGCCCCCATTCTTCCCCTCCTTCGCCTTGGCCCTCTTCCTTAGCTTCTTCAACCGATTCAGCCTCTTCTTCTTCTCCTTCAGCGCCTCCTCCTTACCGGCCTTGAACTTCTCCAGCTCCTCGGCCTTCTTCACCCTCTCCCGCTGCTTAACCCGTATCGCAAGACGCTTCTTCTTCCCTGGCCGCCTTCTCCTCGCCGCCGCCGCGTCTGCCTCCTCCTTTGTCTTCCCAGCATCTCCTCCTGCTGCTGCTGTTCCTGCTGTTCCCTTTGACGATACCCTGGTACCGGGAATCGTCTTCACCCGCCAAGGCTGCTCCATCCCCCACCACCGCCTCTGCGCCCTCTCAAGAACCTCCTCGCCCGACACCGCCGCGAAAGCGAGCTCCGCCTTCACTTCGTGCGTCGGCTCCCCGGCGATGTAGTACGACAGCGGCCTCTTGCGAATCATGGCTCCGTCGCCCGCCATCGCGCGCTCGTCCTCGTCGATCAGCGCAATCTTTGTCGCCGGGTTCGACGTGGTGAAGAGGCGGAACTCAAACTCTTCGGGCTCATCGTCTCCGCCGCCGCCATCTTTGCCCGTTTCTCCGTCCGTCGTCGCTGCTGCTGGTTGCTCGGTCGTTTCTGTCGAAGTCTGGTCGGCGTCGGCGTCGTCGCCTAGGTCGAGCATGCCCGCCATACGGGCATGCAGCTTCGCCAGGAGGTCCGCATTTTGCTGCTCGTCGTGGTCCGCTCCTTCATCGTCGGACGACTCCCCGAGGTCTTCTCGCCGGACTCTGTTTCGTGCCAAGTTCTGATCAGCGCTGCTGCAGGCGCAGGGGGGGAGGGGGTCACAGGAGAGGTAATGGTTGCGCCTCACCTCTTTGCGTCAGGAAGCTCAAACATGGCTGCGTATTCGTCGTGGAGGAGGTTGTCAGGTAAGACGGCACCGGAAAGGTGCTCTGGGACGTTGTGACGTTGTGGCGCCAGACGAGTGAATACGATGAGAGAGAGAGCGAGCGAGTGAATTGTAACCCACCCGGCCGTAATTTCGATCGCCGAGTCCCCGTGCAAAGCTGAAGACAGAAAACGGACGAGAGAGCAACTTCACAGTGAGACCGGGTGCTATGTGGAGTTCTGAGCACGGGACGGAAGGTTGCAATGTGATGAACGGCGGGCGGGCTGACCGGTGGAATTTCGCCCGACCGCGGAGCCGTTCAATTGAGATTTTCGCTCGCTAAAGTGGGAGCGTCGAACCTTATCTTATCGCGAGTCGTGAGGTCCTACCACTACCGTAAGGTACCTTACCTACCTACCTACCTACCTGAGGTAGAAGAGATGCAATGTACTCATACAAATGGGTGCGACAAGTGAACATGAGGAACGGGCTTCGCTCCAGACACAATGTTTTCAAAGACTTGCGAGCAAGTGCGAATACGGAGTACAAGCCAGATATCGAATGGAGTTGTAACCTATGCAAGTGGGCGGTCACTTTGCTTTACGGCTCAAGATCAATGATTGACGCTGCATCTTTACCGGGTCAAGCCACTGCCGTCGGTCGTCTCTTCGCATTACAACGAAGCTTCTTGAACTTGTTGATAGTTAAATATTTGGGTAGCTAAATGCGGATACCACAATCCTCTTTTCCTCTGTTAGTCGTCAATGCATCAACCACCTCGGGTCATTTGTCAAGCAATTCCAATGAATCTCTCTTCCACCCCACAAAGGTACTTATCGAACAATCTCACCGTGCAAACCCCACCCGTTTAGCACATAGTACGTCAAAACCACACATCTCTTCTTAAAGTTCTTACATTTCTTATCCTTCTCCCCCCCCTCCATCCCAGACATCTGTCTGACCTCTATTAATACCTCCTCAATACAAAACATGACAGCCCTCTCAACCCGGGTGAGGGGGTATCAAAACTTCCTGCCCAGTGTCCGCCGTCAGCTCGTCAACCAGTCCCCCCTCCCCAGCAAGCCACCGAACAAGGAGGTGTGGAGTTTTGATGTATGTACAAACACACCGTGGGAGAAGGGGGGGAAAATGACAGTCGGAAACATAACGTGGGCAAAGCAAGGGGTGGGATGAAAAGGCGGGCCGGCCTGGGTTCAAACAACGTGGGAAAGTAGTGTAAACGCGCCAGCGGAGTCTTCCACCTCTGCCCCTCCCTCTCTCTCTACGTACCTACGGATACTTCCATTCGCATAGGTTGTTCTCGCTCTCACTCTCGTAGTCAACTTATCATTCCCCGTTCCTATGCTAGCAAGCTAGGCAGGTAGAGAGCGTCATTCCTACCCAGCTGCTCGGGTCCCCATACCATGCCACCAACCATCCCCCCCTCCTGCTCCTTCCATTGCGTACGCCTGTCATATCTAGTATCCGGTACATCTCCGCCCCAGCAGTTGCAGTTCCATTTCCATGCCCTCCTCCTCCTTCCTCAGCGACGCATCCCAATCCTACTGCCAGCTTGCCAGCCTATCCGTACACTTGCGTCGCGTCCGTACATGCATGCATGAAACGGCACGCGCGCACCCACACACTTCACGAGGATCCCACGCGGCCCAGCGGTAGGCTGAACGCAAGCCCTCCCAGCAAGAGGCCCGAACCGGGCATCACCCGCGTTCTTCGCCCTGCGTTTGCGTTTGCGTGGGTTTACGTGGGTTGCGTGAGTGAAAATTGACAAGATACCTTACCTACCACAGTACCTACCTAATTCCAGCGTATCACAGCATTTGGTATGTAGTATTGGTTTGATGGTGGTGGGCTAACGTCAAAGAATACGACTCCATGGAAAACCGAAAAGGATCCAACAAACATCCCACCAAAAGTACCTCTCTTTTTCTTGCTCTCTCTTCTCTCAAAGCGGTCAAGTCTCTGTGGATTCTCATCACGAAGGATTCGGGGCTAGAGTGTTCGGACCAAAGTGACAGGAAACCAAACCCATTCGTATTCTCTTCCTTCTGGGCTCCCTCCCTCCCTATCTTTCTGTCTTTCTCTCTCTCTCTCTCTCTCTCTCTCTCTCTCTCTCTCTCTCTCCATATTTCTGTTCTTCATTCGCCAAGCCGGCAGCATTCTACAGCTTCTTTCCTCCCTCACATGCGCTGTACGACATAAAAAAACCGGATCAAATCAAAAGTCATAACAAATACAACAAAAGTACAAGGCAAGCAAAAGCAGTATCTTTCCGCCCAAAGCGCACCCATTCCGTCCTATCCCAAGCACCAGCGCCAACGCACCACTAGGACCCCCCTCCCCCCATCACACTATTGGCATCGCAAACTCCCAGCTGAGCGGGCCTGCCGCAGTGGCCCGCCCGCGCCTCTACCTTAGACTCGTGCGTAACGGACCAACGGTGAAAGTGCTACTAGCAAAGGTGTGATCGTGACCGCGCCGTGTGTGTGGGACGTGGGATCGTAGAACGCCGCCGGACGGTGGTGGTGGTGGTGGTAATCTCCCCTCCGCAAAATATGAAAAGAGATGGTCAGACACCTCATACAACTAAGTAGGTGACTTCTGGGAAGAAGGGGGTGGAGAGGTCAAAGGTCCCAATCCAACCCAAGCAAAGTCGGTGGCTGATTTTCCCATGTGTGTATGCGTCCGTCGTGCACCAACAGTCGAGGCAGGTTGACTCGGTGGACCAAACACATAAATGACCCGCGTGCCCGGTGCCCGGTGCCCGTATCCGTCTCTCTGCTCATTGTGAACCACCAAATTTAGTTCGAATACGAGCTCTGGGGAGGTTATCCCCAATCAGACACCAGAACCTGGATGAGAAGAGAGTCAACCTAGGGTTTTGGGGCTGGAATGGATGCTTATTCATTGCCTATTTGCTTGCTTGCGCATTTTCTGGCCTATTTTCTCGCCTCTTGCACTCTCTCTTACTATTCCTTCTCTCTCTTCTCTCTCTCCCTTCCCCCACGAAACCATCTCTTTCCTCATTCTTCAGCAAATCAAAATCACAAAAAATCTTCATCAAGAGTCCGAGAAACCACGCACAGAAGGAACGCTACCACGTCGGGCGGACGTCCAGCCAACCAGCACTCAACCGCCATCCTTTTCCACACCGCCGGTGCCTTCCCATGCCAGGACCCAACCTTTGGTTCCGCCCCGGGTAAATCAGACGAACTCTCTCCGAGGTGTGGGTGGCGGGACCCAACCACATGGTTGGGACAAGGCTACCAAGCTCAGGACCATCTCACTTTGGACGTCGTCCCATCCTCGAGGCTGAGCCCTTTGTGGCTTTGTCCTTTTTCCTTTCCCCAATACCCTTTCCTTCTCACAGGCAACTCAATTTGCCAACGTTGGCGCATTCGGGAGCAAGGATGCCGAGTAAAGACCACAATGCCTTTCATTGCTTTCCCCGTCCGGTACCCGGCGCTTAACAAAAACCAAGAAATACCATACATATCGTTAAGTAACCCGCCCACACAATGTCGCAGCACGGCCCGGAGCCGGTGATAGAAGCGTCCGGCCGGAGCATTCGACGTCAATGCTATCTTCCGTGTGGTATCGAAATGCCCAGCCACCCAGACAATGCCCGTCTCTTGACGCCGATCTCGACCATGTCGTTGCTGCGCCTACCCAAATTATGCTCGGGTCCGGTCTGTCATGAGACCTTGTAAACAAACCACGCCCATGCCGAGCAGAGCCAAAAATGGCAACCGCCAGAGGGAAACCTCCTTTACCGCGGGGTATGCCGTATTTCAATCGGTGTGAATCCCCCGCCTCGACAGCGCTCCAGAATCGAAATATCGCGCCTAGGTACTTGGAGATAAAAGGTCGAATCGGAACCGCAATCACTCTTCTGGCCACGAATTGAAGTTTTAGTGGTACACAGTCAGGGCTTTTGTGCCAGGCGCGGAAACAAGTTCGGCCCTCAAATCTTGCTTCGCTCAACTCAAGCATCGTTCGGCCCGACCTATTATTGCCCCTCATGTTTGGAGACAAGTGGCGTGACCCAGCCGCCAATCAGTAATTCTCGCAGCTAATTAGTGTTCCAGGAATAATGGTTCATGCCATCAAACGATCCCCGGTGGGCGCTGCTGTATGACCCAGGGGCTGGAGGAGCGGGAGCATGCTCCTGCTTGGTGGTTGGCGCAGAGCCTCCGCTCGAGTACTGTTCAGGGAAGCCGTACGGCCTTGCCTCACTGCTGCTGTACGCAACAGTCGAGGTAGGCTCTCCAGCTGTTGTCGTCCATGAACTCGAGGGCGGATAGTAGTCTCGAGATGGGTTGGAGTGTGACGCGGGGGCTTCAGCCTTGTAGGATGGCGGTGCAATATCGCTGGGGTTGTTGCCCACTGCTCCGTACGACGAGCCGTACCGGTACTCCGGGGATGCCTCGTGATGAGACATTGACCCGATGGAAGGCTGGCTTGCATGCCTGGGGCTCTTGGTAGGTCGAGGGTTATCGACGTATCTGGGCACGTTGAGCGCGTTGTCTGAGCTCGATGCCATTGCCGTGGCCGATACTGATAGTGGTGGCGGAGCAGTTGTGCTTTGCACATAAGCGTATTGTGTCCTGATCGGAGGCTGTTGCTGTTCGTTGGCAACCAGGGAAAGCTGAACGGAAGGCATCGACGTTTGCAAAGGCATATCATGGGCCTCTCCACCGAAGCTTGCACTTCCCGGCAGAGCAACCTTATGGTAAGATTCTCCCATTGTCGTAGCGGGGTAGCTTGCTGAGCCAGCTGGTGGTAGTTGTGGCATCCCGGGCACAGAGTTCGAGGAGGACCAGTTGGGGTATGAGCTACGATGGGTCAGTGACCGGGCTTTGCATCGCAACAATGTCGATCAAGTGATAGACATGTACTCTGGATGGAAGGGGGGAGGGGGCGTTGTTTAGCTTACTTGGATCTCATGGCTCCCATGGGTGCTCCAGGCATCTTGGGCCCTCCTGCGTTAAAGGTGAAGGCGGAACGAGGCATCTGCATGTCCAACCCTCTTGCCTTGGCATCCTGCGGCTTGATAGCCAACGGTCCCGCCACAATACCCAGTCCAGTCTCAACTAAGGCCTGGCCCCTGGAGCCAGCGCTCGATCCTAGCAAGGGAATCTCCTTTCTTGCCTGGAAGTTGCGAGGGCTACGGCCCCGGACAACAATAGGCGCGGTAGTCGCTTCAGTAAGCACAATCTTGCTTCCGTTGGCCAACGTCCCGACAACCTTGAGGTGGAGCACAAAGTGTTGCTGGAGTTCCTTTCGCCGCCCGTTGTTTGCGGTGGCACTTTGTCAAATCAGCCGAGATTCGTCACGTCTGCGCGCAAGTGCGCCTGATTCGGGCTGATACTCACATTCTGAACTGCAGTCGGCGCCAGCCAATGGGATAAACGGCATACTCGCCATCGGATTCCGAACCGTCTTCTTGGAAGGGGATAAGGGGAAGCGACGCTGGCTCCTGGTCCGGGGTTTGGGTGATCTCGGGAGAGTTGGGTGGGGGCGTCTTCCAGGGGATGACGATAAGTCGGACGGGGTGGCCGTCGACAGACTCGATGGCAGAGATGGTCACTTCAGTGTTGCTGACGGGGACCGTCTCGCCAGTCTCGGATATAACAGAGAGCTGGCCTCGTGGGGTGATGAGAGAGCCGCTAATCTGGAAGAGGTTTCGTCGGTAACAGGTCAGTTCGGGCTGGAGGATGGAACCGTCGGTGCTGTTGGCTGGCATTTCGGAAAGGAAGAACATTCCGTGCAGCTGAGCAGAAAGCTCCAGCTGCTGCATGCGTCCATGCTGGTCGACAATAGTGTGCTTGTCTTGTACCCTCTTGAACGACAACAGCTTGTGGTCGTGGTTGACGGTAAGTTTGGAGCCATCGTCTCTCAGGTCCTGGACAATCTCCTGGTAAGGGGGCTGTTCGGTTTGCGAGTAGGGTCTCTTGAGATTGGGGAAGCTGTGGTGGGATGTCAAGCTGGGATGCGAATGTCTATCGTACGCATCGGGCTCGTCTTGAGGGTAGCGACCATAGGGATAAGATCCGTGGTCTACACTCGGGTGGGTGCTTCTAGGGCGTCCCGCGTGTGGTGAGTTGGCGGCGTGGCCTCCGAGGCCAGAATCCAGGCTGTTGTTGAATCGAGACGACATTTGGACGGGACTCCCATAGTTCGACCAAAGATTGGAATGTGCCGGCTCTTTCAGCTCTGCCATGACGGGGTAAGTGACCGTGGTTGACATTAGAGCATGCCTCTCTGATGCGCTGTAGTCCTGTTCCAGACCCAAGCGCGCTTCTGTCACTCTGCTTCTTCTTCTTTCTTTGTCTCTGGTCTCCGTGTGTACTTTACACAAGGATATGTCGAGGTCCTTGCTGGGTAGTCAACAAGGGCATGTACGTTGTTGATGTAAGTCGTCTTGACCAAAAGAGGTTGGGATTGGTAAAGAGAAGGGGAGGATGAGCGAGTGTGTTATTTGATCTCGAGGAGTGATGGCGAAGACTCGAGAGATGCAGAAGATGCAAAGATGAAGTTGAGGATCAACGGACGACGGTCATGTTTAAGGTTGCAGGGAGAGATGTATACTTGTATCTGATGGGGTGAATGGGTCGCAAGAGGACGGTAGATGTTGGAGGGGGTGTCTGATGAAAATCTTCGGCACTGTTCTGGGGTGGATACAATGATGGGGCAGGGCTGGGGGAGGCCAGCCAAGGCAAGGTCGAGGTTCAAGGTCAAGGTTGCGTCGAGTCGAGTCGGAGTCGAGTCGAGCAGCAAGTTGATGTCTCAACGGGATGTCCCTCCTGCTGGGCCGTTGACCTGTGCCTTCTTCAGCGGCAGCGGCAAAGGCAAGGTCACCGGTACAACGTGATGGCGGGTTCTTGGACAGGACGGTCAGTGCATGCAACCATACTGGGAAGGAGAAAGGTGAGGAGCGGGCGATCTGGTGAGCGGAAGAACAAGGCACGCTATGGAGCTACGACGATGGAGTATGGATGCGCCCTGCAGAGCGGCGACCAGGTTTAGGGAAATACCCTTCTTAGAAGGCGGCGCTATGGGGAAGGGAAGGGAAGGGAAGGGGGCACGCAGGACGCAGGACGCAGAAACAGCAGGACGCAGGCCGTGGTAGACCCAGACTTGCAGACTGGTAGACTGGGAGCAGAGGAGGAGGAGGAGGAGGAGAAGAAAGAAGACAAGGTCGTCGACGAGGGCCCAGGACGAGGGGCGGCACTGAAACGGTTTGATAAGAGCAAACGAGCACAGTTCAGGATACCAGGTCCAGGGCCTTTTGTTGCTGTTGCAGTAGTGTAGCTCTGGTTTATGAATTTGCATACGGACTACTGGCCCGTCCAAGCAAAGGTACGCAATATTTACCTTACCTTAGTTTTAGTGAGTTATTAGTGTGAGCAAGACCACAGAGTGAACATGACGGGCGAGCTCCGGGGGGATGGAGAAACAGCGCATCACAAAACGCTTATTCGCCCAAACGCACTTACGAACAAGTAGAACCAGCCGACGCATATTCGCACATCCAAGACCAGTCTTGTCTTCATTACCCGCACCCGCACATAAACATACATACGATACCTGAGGAAAAAGATGCATAGCTACGTAGGTATCATGGATACGTACGGGTTGAATGGCCCCGGTTGGACAGTGGCATACACCCACTTTCTCTCTCTATCCGTACCGTACCGTACCGTACCGTACCGTTCATACACACTCACTCACTCTCTGTTTCTCTTCCTCCCCTCTCACTCGGTCGCCCTCAAAGACACGCGCGCGCACATGCACACACACTCTCTCTCTCACACTCTTTTTCTCTCCTCCCCTCCAGCACACCCCCGCTTCTGCCGGAGGCGTGGACAAGTCCCTTGCACAAATTGGTATCGCTAGGAGCAAAAGACATGGAAGAGAGTTGACGGCAAGCCTTCAGGGTTGGCACTACTGACCCTGGTGAGCAGGGTGGCATATGCGGTACGTAGCTCTGTCGAGATGGAGGGACGGAGAAGAACCTGGCATGGATCGTACGGAGGCACGGGGGGGGAGCATCTCTCGAGGAGAAATCGCAGGCTGGATATGCCCCAAGACCCTCGTCTTGACCAATGGAAGCATCATGGCGAAATGTCCAGGGGTTGAAGAGGGGGGTGTCGCTCGATAAGAAGACTAGAGAGAGAATCCTCCGACGGTTGTTGTAGGCTACTGGCCCGCAATTTTTCTAGAAGACTGTTGGGCAGAGACGCCGACGAAGTCAGGAAGTGGAAAGGTGTAGAGGCGAAGGGGGTGTGAGAGTGCGAAAGTGAGAGTGAGAGAGAGGGAGAGGGAGGGTGAGAGGGGGGGGATCGGTTCACGAGATTGCTGGAGGCCAGGGGCCGAGTTCAACTCGCTTGGGGCACACATCCAGTTCCAACATCCCTGTCCGGGTATGGTGGAGTGGGCAGGCAATATTAAGAGAGGGTTAATATAATAGACACAGGCGCCTGACTGAGGCTTTTGCTGGCAGGCTGGTCAGACAAGAGGCAATGTCTCTGAGTCTGTCCTTATTTTTTCGCCGAACAACGGCGAAGGAGGGGAGGGGTGTTTCCCCAAAAGCAAGGCTGTCAACGGCGCGGTTCGTTCAAGCATTCAGGTGTCGCAACTCTGCTTTTCTTTTGTTCGGGCTCTGCCGTCAAGTGTCATGACTCTCCCGGGAATCAAGACGCGCCAGAGCAGGCACATGCCGGGTTCGAGTCGGTCAGGAAGACAACCTCGTTGCTCACTGCTCACTGCTCACTGAGAGAAGAGGCATGGAAAGAAACGAGGGGTGTGGGTGGGAAGAGGCCGCAGACCGAGGAAGCAAGAAACCAGAGAGATCGCTTTTCTTGACCAAGTCAAGTGTATCCGTAAGGAGGAGGAAAGAGGAAGGTAATTGAGCCGGTCGGTCAAGATGCCTGAATCCATGGTATATCGAATGCGTGACCACGACTCGCGATGCTTGCGGTTGCATCTCTCAAAGCCTCACTGCGCATGATTAGACTCATATGGAGATCCGTTATGACTTACATAGGTACATGGGCGCTAGTGACCCTATGGACCAAAGGTAATCTCCCGACTCCTCCTTTCTCCTCCTCTTCGTGTCCGGCTTTTGCGAGGATTCAAGAATTGCGAGAATATTATGACAAAGCGAAGGTAAAGGAAGGGTTCAAGGTTGACGACTTGTCAATAATCCGAACAAGAGAAACACTCGGAGCACGGGTGACGGGGTGGTAAGATGTGGGTGTGTCAAGGAAGTAGAGGAGGGGGCCCAAAAAAAACCACAGCACACAACTTGGAAGAGTCTCCGCAATATGTGAAGAGAGAGAGCCCAGGCAAGAGACAAAGATAGGTACAAACGCACAGAGAGAAACAGAAACGAAGAAGCAAAAAAACGCAAGAGAGAGAGAGAAAAAAAATAGCACACAAAAAATAGAGCGAGGCACAAATGCGGAGGCGCCCAGGCATGTTCGTGGGAGAAGTTCCTGAAAGGGGAAGCTAACAGTCTGTGCCCGCACCCGGACCAGGGGTCCGCAAAAAGGCGCAGGGTTGAGGGTCGGTCCTCATCATGGCAGTTGATAGAACCCGGCCGCGGGCTTGTCCACGGGGCAGTACGTACTGTCCTTACATAGCACGGATACGTACCCTCTTCTTTTTGTCCCCGTAGTCCCGCCGCCCGCGCAGGTGCGCAACCCACCCATTCACTGCTCCAAGGTGCCGCGTCCGGAATCCCACGAACCAGTCGCATCGCATCATTGGCATCGTGCTGCTGCCAAAGTACCTGGGACAGCTGTGCGTACCTAAGGTAAGGTAGGTAGCTTGAATCTCCGTTTCCGAAATGGCCACTACCTATTCGCCAAGGTAACCTGCAGAGCTGCATTCTTCTTGCACTTGTTGCCAATCCCCCTCGCGTCTTTTCTCTCGCGAATAGCCTGGGTGCGGATATCTGCCTCTTGACAATTGGGGGCGCTCGGATACCCCGTCCCCCTTCTTCCAAACAAACACGAAGAAAGGGGTCCCTGGGAAATATGAGAAAAAGAGGCAGCCCGTCTCATCAAGCAAAAGACGGGAAAGACGCGTAATCTTGGCTCCCGTGCTCCAAGGTAATCAACGGCAAGAGGTCTTGGACACGAGGCGAGTTGATGCGAGACGATCAGAAGGCGGCCTGAATTGCGATAGTCAGCATCGTCCTGGTTATTTTGACAAGACGGGACGAGACCACCAGACGCGAGAGTAGTGTACCTATCTCTTTTCCCTGCCCCTCACACTCTTTTACGCACGCAGTACATACTTTGAACGGTACACTACCTACTTGTTAGCCCCGCGGCACAGTAGCACTGGCTCCCGAGGAGCTTTGAGGGTAGCGCAGCGTAGCTTAGCCGTAGCGTAGCAGCAGAAGAGCAAGTAGCAGCGGCAGCCGACGCAGAAGCATCAGCAGTCAAGGTCAGGTAGGGCGTTCTAGCTTCCCATTTGTCGGCGTTAGACCGGTTGTGCAAGGTACCTGAGCTGCTACTTCCACGTACCGACATGGATCCGGGCGCCGTTGTGTGGTGGAGGGACTAGAACGAGGATGAGGACGAGGGCGGGTGATGGGCGGCTGACCGCCTGCCTTCCTGACCTCACTGCACATTCATCGAGCGGCAAGGTACAGAGGATTCAAGGTACGGATACAATGCCATGCAGTCGCCAGTAACGGCCTGGTTTGGTATGTGGGCCTCGACAACGACCTTGGCTCGGTCTGGCTGTGGATGTGCATCTAGCTTGCAATGTATGCTCTCTACTGGTCTTCTGAATGGTCTCGGTCGAGGTGCAGGTCTTGATCTTGGTGGCCAGTACTCTGTATTCGTAGGCTGTCGTCTGTACTTCGTACATACAGATACTGGGGGCGCAAAAAAGAAGGGATCACGGCCGGGTGCATGCAGAGAGTATGCAGTGGCTGCAGTAGCCCCCAGAAGCTTCGACCCACGGCTGCAGCGGCGGACGAATGTGGCTGTTAAGAAGCGTTAGTAGGCTGGGGTCTGGCAGAGCGGTGGCCACATGGGCCAAGCAACTGACTGCCTCTGTGCGACTGCGACTGTGTGCGAGGTGAGGTGAGATGCGGTGCTGTACGGTGCGGGTGCGGTGCGGTGCGATACCCAAGCACCAAAGCGGTCAATCATCAGATGGCGATGCACACGGATGCCGAGGGATAAGCAGGCCGTCCGATGCGATTTCCTGCATGTCGAGGCGGAAAGGGAAGAGTCGCTCGCGCCGTCCTCCGAGCCAGATGCGATCGGAGCGTAGTCCGGTCACGTCGAGGGGTGGCACGGGGGTGGTGACGACGTGAAGTCGGAGAGTGGAGGACAGAAGCGGACACGAGGGCGGGAGGTAACGTTCAGAGCCTGGGTATCCGTAGACCGTAGAAGTCACACGCCCCGAGGTGAGGTGAAGCGGATGAAGGTCTGGGATCGAGTTAATTGCTTACGTACTTGGCCCAGCGTAAGGTACGAAGTTAGGTACCCAAGTAAGGTAAGGTATGTTGCAACTTGCGGGAGTGGCTTACCTTGTTATTTTGGCCATTCTCCTAATAGCAAGTGAATGCAACTCACATATTGGAGAGAAGCGAGCTATATTGTTGATCCAGGGTTAGGTAACTCAATATCCGATGTCGATGCCGTGTGCGAAAAGGAGGTTACTATGTATGGCAAAGTATTGATTGCGGCAGCCAAAGGATATTGAAGCGATGGCAACTATCGATAACAAATTTCCTTGTTCCAAGGAAACCCCGAGAAACACAGTGCAGAGTCGGGCCTTTGCGCAAGAGGGCCTAATTGCCGCACTCGGTCGACAAGGAAGAGACCTGGTGGCCGAATCGAGTTGGAATTGTCAAGCCTGCGATGATTAATCTACGGAGACACAGCTTGTATCCCGGAGCAATATGAACAAAGAAAAGGCGCAACTCCAGAAAAAGTCGGGGGGAGAGGGGGGATTTCCGGGCAGACCAGGACACGATCAAGGCCTTGGTTATGCTCAATGCTTGAGCAGGCCAATCTTGCCAGGTCATGGTCAAGGGAGAGAGATACGGAACGGGTCCGGAATCCGGAGCAGGCCCAGGCCGAAAATGGAAAGAGCAGGAGCCAAGCACGGACACAACCAAACTTCAGCAGTCAGAAGTTCAGAACTCGGTCGTGCCTGAGGAAAGAGCAATGGGCAGCTTCAATGGTGAGATGAACTCGAATCTCAACTTTGAAGGAAGGAGGGACGGGAACGAGAGCAAGAACCTTTCATCAGGCATCCATCTAAGGTGCCTTATTTGAAAGAGAAGGTGGGTGTATCCGTCAAGTAAGGTAGGCAAGACACCGAGTAAGGTGCGCTTGCCTTTCGGTTCGCTCCTGACAGAGATTTGCCCAGCTGACCGTGAGGTGTAGGTAGCCTTGGAAGCGACCTGATGGGAAGGAAGGATCCCGTCGAATGACACTGGGTTGGCATCTGCACCTGCCAACTCTCTTTCGGCCCCTCTACCTCGCCTTCCCGGATGTCGTCCCTGCCCTTGGCGAGGACGTGGTGGCAGTGGTAGTGGCAGTGGTAGTGGCAGTTGCAGCGGCAGGTGCATAGCATGGTCCGTACCTTACCTTCCCTCCCTTGTGGTAGGTAACTTGTAAGGTCTGGCTCTCGGAAGTTGCACATCCACGTCTCGACCTCGACTCTTGACTCCAATCTCCAAGCAGGCAGGACAGGCCCTTACCGTCGTAATTGCTCTATTTTGCTCCAAGATCGGGTCGGGTGGTCGGAGGAAGCGACGGGGAAAGGAGGGAAGCACCGCCCCGGCGGCCGGAGGGAGAGGTTCCCTTCCCAGCTTTCCCATTTCAAAGGCCTTGTCAATAACAATAACGGACATGGCATTCTCCATCGTTGATGCCTCGTGCCAACCTCGTGCCCTCTCTAACAACCCCCGACCTCTCTTTTCCCCTCCCCTCCTCTCATAAGGTAAGGTATGTATCCATATATGACAGCCCGAGGCGTGCGGCTTGCGGCGTGCCAGGCTCCCACTCACCACACTCCCCCACCCGACCTTAGCCATTCTCCATCCAGCATCGCGACCATGATGAACCCCCAGTGCCACGGCCCCCCCGGCCCCCCGGCGCAGCACCATCATGACACGCTGCTCTCAACTTCTTCACCGACCCCTTACCTAGGCAGGTCCCCAGGGACCCAGGCTGCCATGCGCGCCAGGTCTCCAACTGGTTTCTCCAGCGCCTAATCCAGCAAGTCAGCGACTCCAGCAGCGCATCAAGACCCCCCAATTTCGGGGCCATGTCCCCGTATCTCAGTGGATTGTTTGTGCAGAGTCGCTGGAGAAATACAGTGCTCAGTTACAGTGCGTGGTTCCGATATTAACCCGCACCGACTGGAAAACTCAAAATTATACCAGGCAGGGTTTCCCAGGCTAAAGGTGCCTTAAGAGCCGGGGCACTGATTCAATCCCGTCAGCACCTTGGTCAATCATCGTCGCCCTTTCCCTCTTTGTGCCGGCTCCACAGCCCACTTTCTCTCCTTGTTCTTGCTGCCCTGTCGTGCCTGCCACGCCTGCCTCACCATCCACACTTCCATATTTCTGCCCAGCTCAGTACGTACCTCACCTTCTTGATGTGTGGTCAAGATCCAATGCTCAACCTCCACTCGCACGGGTCCTCCTGCCAACCCCACCTTCTCATCGAGTCCACCTTCCACAGTCCTCAGTCCGCATCTCAAGCAGAAGCTCGGGCTGATTGTGCAGCTCCTGCCCGTCTAACTCTTTGAGATTTTCAACCTGCAATTGCACCTGCCATCCATTGCATCACGCTTGCCCCAAAGCTCCTGAGAATCTCCATATTCGAGATGCCATATGTTGTCCTTCCTGAATGGACTTCAGCTATGCCTACTTGCCGTACCTACCTACCTTGTGGAAAGCAGAACGATGTCAAGGTCAGGCACTCAGGTCAAGGTAAGTACGAAGTCGGCAAGTAGCGATATTAAAACGAATGGAATATGTTCATATACCTCCTCAAACCCTCTACCTTGCTTCTTCTTTTTGCCTTCCAATGAAATATGGGAGGAATGAGGCACTCCGCATCCAGACATATCTCTCTCGTCGGCTGCAATAATTCCCTCGCCTCTTTCTATCGGCCACTCATCAAAGTAGAGTTAAGCAAGTAGTTGCGCTTCAAGATAACTATGTAGCATATCTTGTGGCCGGACTATCACAGCGGTTCAATCCACTTGTTATCCATCATCCACTTCACGTCGTTCCCTTTGTCAAAAGTCTCCAAATCTGTTAATGAGGGAGAAAAATAGCTCGACTCGACTCGACTCCAGTCTCCTTGACATTCAACCGCCCACTTTTCCTACTGGACCTCCTTCTCCTCCGTCTTTTTCTTCTTCTGCTTCATCTCGCGGTTGTTGCTCAATATCCAAGTCCAAAATGTACTTTACATGATCATTTCGGCCTCCCTCTTTGCGACTTTGCCTTGGACATATGCGCAACTACGTACTTCCCTGTCGTCGCAGCACACTATCGACTATCGACAGCAAGCTCTGCGGATCACGGCTCCTCCTCACTACGCACAACGACTCCTCACATTCTCCTCCCGCCGCCTCCCCTCCAATTAACCCCCCTGGAGGCCGGGAACTTCGACATCATGATCAGGACCCTGGACCGGCACGCGGACCCCCGTCGTCCGTCACCCTCGTCCACAGCCTAGGTGGTGTCCTGGCCTGCTCGAACCCGCTCTCAAGCAAGTCACCTCATCGAGGGCACATCACCGTCACCTTCTCCACGTCCCCCACAACTCGTTTTGCTACGCATACCCACGCAGCACCACTATGGCCATAGTGTATTCGTACGGGTACCACACAGCCCACACTCTACTATGGATCGAGGGGACAAACGCTTGTGTTTCCTTCTCAGGTACGCCGGACACCTGCTTCTCTCTGTTTGGCTCGACCCAAAACAAAGTTTATCGCGACTCTCGCCAGCGCCGTTGCATTCGGTTCCTTCTTCCTAGCTCCTGTTTCCCTACGTACCTCGTCCACCATGCCTCCGTTCGCATAGCTTACTATACCTTACTCACGCCACAAGGTATCACACCGCAAGGCACTTGTTCAACGCCCCCCGCTCTGCCCTTTTCGTCTCTCTCTGAGTTGCTCTACAGATATCCATACCTACTGCTTTTTGGAGTCGACTCCAACTCCGCGCGAACTGGCCGATATCTGAAGCCTCGTATACCTTGTCACCTTCCAAAGTGAGGGTGAGGCACGCTGCCAGCCAAGCTTGAACCTCATCTCACTTTACACTTCCGGACTGCGATACCTTGCCATCCCGCGGCCTCGTCTTGTTAGGTCCCATGCCCGACACAAACTCTACTCGGATTTGCCGCGGTAACGCGCCCTCCTCTAGGCTTCTCCTCCTCCTCCGCCGCCGCCGCCGCCGCCGCTCTAAGTCTTGGTCCCGTCACCCTGGTCTCCAACCTCTTCGCCGGCCTCCATTCAAGCTCCCGTTTGCAGACTGCTTCCTCGACTCGCTCGACCTGGGCCCCCGGTGCAACGCCTAGATGACGCCTCTCACGCGCGCTTCGTCAAGTGACAGTACCTGACAGCAGGTGTCAGCCACTGTGGACACCGCTGGTCCACGCTCTCTGCACCGACAATCCAAGCCGTTAAGCTACGCCTGCAAGTGACAGCGCTAACAGACGCACAGTCAACTAGTACGACGCGGGAACCACGTCAACTTCATTCGAGCCTGTTCTTTTTTCACAACTGGAGACCTTGTATAGTGCTTGCTACGCATAACTATTCCCCCTTCCAAACAGTGTTTATCGAGGCACGAAGAGGAAAGTGAGGACCAACAATGCACTGTTCGAGCAGTGCTATCTACAAAAACTTTTCAGCCTTGAAAGCTTGCATATGAATGTATTCGCTCCTAACACGGGCTATCGCCTACTCTGTTCCGCACCTGGAAGCGGCATGCTTTCGCATCAAAGTCAAGAGACAAGTGTATGCGCCTCTAACCGACCGCTTCAACACACGTTATCCGGAGCTGTCATATGGCCCCCTTGCAATTACGACGTCTACCTCACAACTCCAAGTACCTATACGGAACGCTCCATCGGGATCCCGCAAGATGATTGTCGTACGAGTATCCTCTCCTGAGAGCCGCCTTCACTGGCAGTCCCCGGCGGCGCGGCTACAAGGTCGATCGCATCTGCTGCTGTACCGCCACTTCGGGAGCGTTTAGAAGCACGCCACCAAAGCCACGGCACGGAAGTTACCCTGGGCCTGGCACAATTTGAGAAACCACGACAGTTCGTACTGCTAGCTATCAAGGCCGAGTTCTCCCGGTTCTCGTCCAAGAAACATTTCCCTGCCAATATTCAATCTCTTTCTCACACTTTGCGGGTTTTCACAACTCGATCCGCGATCCACGGGCCTTGCCTAGAGCTGGTACGATTCCTGCGCTATTCTTGACGCGCCTCACCTAGAGAGCGTCCCCGTCCAAGTCGCAGACCTCGTCACAGACCAACGTTCGCGGCGGAAGCATCCCTTGCTGGATGTAACGGTCCGGGGGGTGTTCAAGGGGGCTCACGGCGAATTTCCAGCGAGATCGTGCGGGCATGGACCCGTCACGCCTCTCGTTGAAGCGGGTACCATGTGCAGATGGCTTGCCGCCTGCTTGTCCGACTAGCCCTCGTCCTGGTCGGTCCACCATAGAGCCCCTAACGGCCCTCACGGGCCCTGTCACGCCTTGGCCCTCTTTGCTGCTCGATGCACATCTCATTGGTTCTCTAAGGGACACGACCACCTTCTGCCGACCGTCGCCCAGATTTCTCGTCATCTTGCTCACGGTGGAGAGGTATATCTGGATAAAAGAGCACGGCACTCGATGGCGGACTGTTTCGACACTCTCGACGAGTGACTGATTTGGTCTGGCGGTGGTCTGTGTTTCGACGTCGAAACACTTGACAGGGCTCGACCGGGCTGTGTAGACATGGGAAACACGAATCTACATCAGATAAACAGCAAGACCATTGACAGCCACAATCACGACTCGGCCATGGCCGACCTCCGTACGTTCCCTGCAGCAAGGGGCTCGCCATCGTGGTATGGCACTTTCTCATCTAAATGCATGCTTTTGTCACTCATACGGAGCACTTCGTACTGATTGATGGCTCGGAGTTTTTGAGAAACAAGAAGTTCCAAGTCTCGTTTGTGGATTCACGACCGAAATTATCCCCTTTTCCACCCATGGCCATTAACCGACGGGCTAAGACCTATATCTGCAATCCGATATACCCCTCCCAATGGAAATGGCCCCTATTCCGAGCACACATCTGCACAACACCATCGATGAGCCGATGCACTATTTGCCCATTGAATGAGAAGGGTTTTCATTATTTCTTGCCTTTGCACTTGGCATTGCGCCAGGCACGAACCTGAGCAGACTCTGGTTCATGACTAGCTGGTGATGCAGGTGCTTAGACCGTCCGTACCAGGGATTGAAACATTTGCGGCAGCCACGAGGCGCAAAAATCGGCTCCAGACAGTCGGCTCTGCTCGCTTTATGGATTTCGTGTTGCAACCAGCGCGTCAAGAGTCCCAGGTCTTGAAATCTCCGAATTGGGCCGCTCCAACAGCATGGAGCCTGGAGACAGGTACTGAGTGTGAAGTACCAACCAGCCATGGGATGAAGATGGATCGACAGAGAGCAACTTGAGAGTGCCACAGCGGCGGGGACAAAATGAGAGCGTCCAAGGGCCATTGCTCGCTCTCGCGCGGCAGTCGGCTCTTTGTGGCACTGCTAGACGACATACACGCCATCCCCCCCGAGTTCCCACACACGGATACGTAGTGTATCCGTCGAGGACGACAAGACAAGCAAGAAACAAGCCTGGGGTCACTCTCATTCGGGGGAGGGATGGGGACGGGGGGACACGAGAATGGCGCAAGACTCCCTGATTCTCTGCCAAGCATCTCCTCTGGACCTTGTCACAGTTGCAAACCGTCTTTACCGAAGAGGGCCGCCCCATGCAATTGTCATCCACATTTCTCCGGCCATGGACGAATTAATCTGGCCTCCACTCGCGTCTAAGCTCTTTCGAGGCACGTTTCCGGCACAGCAGCCTCCTTTGGGACGATGATCCCCGTCCTCGTAAGAAATCTGCTGCTCGATTGAGAACCGCATCGTCTTTTTTTCCATCTCCCGAAATTTACACCCTCGCGAGACCC